GTCGCACAATTGGAACCCCATTGCAATTTTGAAAACATCAAATTGTCAATCATTTTACACATTACATGCCGTGTTCTATACTTTGTCTATCATGTTGTTACATGCCATTTTCAAATATGTTACACGCTATGCTCAAAAATGTTACACGCAAGTTTAAAAATTGTTACACGCCATGTTCACTACGTGTTACATGCCCTGTGCTAACACATGTTATTTCAGTATATTTTTTACATGCCATCTGCTTTATGGATGCATGGCGTGTAACAACTTTGGGTAGTGTTTGTAATCCATGTTCTAATTTACACAACAAGTTTCAAAATTTTATCTGTTGTAGCAATAAACCCAATAACATACCTTGATGTCATCTCTGCTATAGGGTTTGTTTATCGATGACAATATGGTCAGATGTCAAGAGATAGACCACAACACGATGACGATGGTGCTCAATAGAGAGTTGACAAAGCTCATACAGTTTAGAGAGTTGAGTGACTTGATGACAATGGTGCTTAACAGAGAGTTAACAGAGTTGATACAGTTCAGAGAGCTGAGAGAGAAAGATGAGTGACCTCAAACAGTTGAGCATTTATTTCTATTTTCTCTCTGACAGGAGGGAAATATCGAGAGGTTTTTCCCACGATGTTTTTAAGGCATTTTGGTCTACTCATGCTTCTTAGCAGCTAAAAACAGATAACTTTATGTGGCACATTATTTTTGAAATCACCTTATGTTGAGGCCCCTTTTCTCACAATTTCCTTAAGAAATTAAGAGAGATTTTTGCTATGTTTACAAACAGCACTAGGAGAAAGAAGATGTTACATCGTATATAACAAAAAGTGAATTGTCAGTAGTAAGTTGATAACTTTAACAAAGATCTCTATGTACAAAATTACTAGTGCAAAGTAATAAATAATGTTGTAATCATTTTATATATACATTGATAAAGTAGGCAGTTTTAAACAACAAGAAAAGAGAAAAGCAATTTCAAAGGCATAGAAAATGAATCCAAATTCAATGAATATGGGGGAAAACCTTTTGGAAGATTCCATTGAGGGAAGAGAAAACTTGGCAATGATCCAAGTTGATCAAAAGCAATAGAGGCTTCTTGCTTTAATTGAGGTCAACGATGATCTCCCATTATGGTTAATCAGATATAGGTTTGGGAATAGTATAGCTTTCATTAGCAATAAAAGAAGAAGACTAAAAACATTAGTTAGTATTTAATACTTGCAAAGAAGAAGCACATGAGGACAGTTTAAACATATGATTTGAATGATATAAAATTCATTTTATTTAATATTGCATTCTCATCCAATTGTATCGGTTTAACAATGGTTTTGCTATCAAGGAACAATCCAAATTTCGGTTGGAAGAAATTGTTTTTGTTGCTAAAGGAGGAAGAGGTCGACCTATGATCTGCAAAATATAATGAATCTAGATGAACTATGGTTGATCGTAGATTTTCTAATTTTAAAATAGAGAATCTTCTTGCAAGCATGAGAATGATTTTTTGTGTGCCTTTTTCTATCAACTAATTCTTTCCTTAATAATGAAAACGATTTTTCCAACAGAAAAAGGACTATTATTGACAACATAAACTATTAGTGAACTTAACAAATTGTTGAAAACATAGTTGACTGTAAGAATTATTAGTATATTTATGTAGGATGTTAATGACAAGATAGCATCAAAACTATTATTTATTTGTTAAATGATTTACTTCTAGTAGGTTAAGTTCGTTAAATATATTAGAATAAGTAATTACTTTGTTTTTTGTTATGTTGGTAAATTTTTTAGCTTTAAATTATTTTATTATGTTGTATGTATTTTGTTTGCAACAAACTTAAAGAAGAAGATAAAATTGCTATACCTAAAGGGCATGGAAACAAAATCTGGAAGTTGGAACTTGTGCCAGCACAACAAAGAAAGAAATCTGAAAGCACAAAACAATAATGAATATAAGCTTTACGACATTTACAACAAAAATCAATATAGCTTTTGCAGGGATCTTTTAAGAAAATGAGAGGACAAAAGCAATGGTCAAAACATATGAGAGGACAAAAAACACATCTCAATTAAAAATTGAACTTTTTAACCGTAGCATGATTGAAAACTTTGATAAGCTAAACAATCGAGGTCAAATTACAAATCCATTTGAATTTATATCCAATTTCCATATTTTGTATTTTAAGCACGAACAATTCTCTTTTGAAGTTGTTAAACTTTTAAAAATTCTGTTTAAGTACTTTTCCATTGTCAAACTAGGCTTATGAAGCACAAAAGTATGTTAGTTTTATTTTAAAATTAATGAGTTTGATATCATTCTCTACATATATTTAGGCTAGTTTTAGACTTTATTAATTAATATTGTATCTAATTTTCAAATATTTGGGTGTTAGGGTTATATTCTTTATCTTACATTTTATTAAGGTTTTGGTTTAGTTATAAATACTTATGTAATCTTAGATTCAAAGAGCTTTTGGTATTTGAATTTTTGAGTTAAAAGGATGATTATAAAGCAAATATAAATAAAGACCAAAGCCATATCCAATCACATACATATTCAGAGAAAATATCAGGAATAAAACAGCATTCAAGATTCAAAGAATGGATAATAATTTGCTTCATTCCTAGAAATCAGAAAGAAATAAAATATCTTACATTCTTAACTAAAGTTCAATTAGCAGGTTTTACATTTTTGCAAATCCAAGACACGTAAAACGTAGATTAAAGCCTTTAATCAAGCATACATAGATTCAAATGCAATGGTAGACTGTTACAAAGGATAAATGAAACAAAGCACACACATTATTAAATATCTTAGATTTCTTAAATCTATTCCCTTTTTCTA